GCAGTCACAGTTTAGAATTATCAAGCATGTGCAGGGCGCAGCAAGGCCTCAAAAATCTGTGCCCAAGCCTTGATAAATGAGAAGTAACATCCTTGACACATAAGTGCTAGGCAGTGACAATCACAGACTATAGAGAATATGCCATAACATCTTGACATTCCATGGCATTACCATCATTGAGACCCCAACTATCAGCATCCTGAGCGTTACCATTAAACCCAAAACAGAACTGGTCTATCCATATAAATACTCTGGCTCCAAGAGCAGGTCAAAGGCTAGAATCCTGCAGAGAATAAATTGCCTCCTGACTCTGCAAATTCTGTCCACCTTCTACAAGGTGCATGTTAGGAGTGTGATGGAATATGCCCCACTTAATGGATGAGTGCAGCTCCAACAACACTTAAGAAATTTGACACCAACCAGGACAAATCAGCCTACTTAATTGACACCACATCTGCAACCAATCATTCTCTCCTCCACAGTACAGTAGCAGCAGTGTACACCTGCAAGATGCACCACAGAAATTCGCCAAGGCTCCTTGGACAGCACCTTCCAAACTCAATGACCACTACCATCTAGAAGGACAAGAGGAGCAAAATCATGGGAATACCTGTAAATTCCCCTCCAAGCCTCTTACCATCCTGAATTCAAAGTATATAGCTGGGTCAAAATACCTGGAGCTCCCTCCCTAACAGCATTGTGGTATCTACATCGAATGGACTGGAAAAATTCCAAGAAGGCAGTTGACCACTGCCATCTCAAGGGCAACTGAGAATGGGCAAGAAATGGTAACCCAGCCAGTGACGCCGACAACCTTTTTTATACATCAGTGGGGTGGAGGGTGGGTGACATGGTGGATCAGTGGCAGCACTGCTGCCTGAAGGCACCAGGGACCTCGGCTCAGTTCCAGCCTCTCTCGACTCTGTGGAGTTTGCATGTTCTCCCTGTTTCTGCATGAGTTTCCACTGGGTGTTCTGGTTTCCTTCCACAGTCCAAAGATGTGCAGGTTAGGTGGATTGGCCATGCTAAATTGCCTGTAGTGTTCAGGGATGTGCAGACCAGGTGGATTAGCCATGAAAAATGAGGATTATGGGATAGGGTGGGGCTTTGGGTCTAAATGGGGTGCTCTTTGGAGAGTTGGTGCAGACTCGATGAGCCAAATGGCCTCTTTCCGCTCTGTAGCGTTTCTATGATTCTACAAATCATTTGACTTAGAGCATTGGCATCACTGGTGGCTCCTCTTAGAAAAGCAGCCATTCAGCTGATGTGAAAAACAATGCCACTGGATGCAATGTTGCACGCAACAATTTTCTTTTTGTATCTTGCTGCTCCCTTTTAAAAGTTTCATCCTCCTGCAGTTGCAAAGAAACAGGCCAAGAAGCTGTGAATTCCTGTGTGGCCTGGTAAAAGCACCTAAACCTTTGCTGGGGCAGATAGGGAATGCAGGCCATTGTATTTGGATTAACTATGAGCTTCACTTACAGGCTGCAAAAATTACATATTTTGATTTGTTTCCATGTGTAATATTCTCCTTAACTTCTCAAACACATTTTTACCCTAAAAGTTGAGTTGTATATGAAAAATTATGGAAATTCAGAATATTCCAGACAGAATAGCTGGATGGTACAGGGGTTCAATATCAAACAGGTGGTGGGTGATGTTGCAAATGTTCCAATGTATGTATAGAATTGCTTACATTTCAGTCCTTTTCTGGTGTCAAATTTGGGAATTATGATTCCTCGCTGCATTATTGATAATTAGATCAGCGAGTTCAGTTGATCAGACAGCTAGTTTGCGATGCAGAATGACGGCAATAGTGAGAGTTCAGTCTCCACTGAGGTTACCATGAAACTTCTCTCTCTTAAGCCGTATCCTTGCCTGAGGTGCGGTGACAGAAACTACCACCAGTCATTCACGCGCTCGTGGCCATCTGGGTATATGGCAAGTTTACCTTTATCTATAATAAATCTGTATATAACTTCACTTGCTGTGTAGTTGGTGTCCTTTGTACTAATTACATAATAAAACCTTTATTTAGGTTGAATATGTATTCTGCAGTTGCTTGCTAATAGCAATAGTAACAGATGACATCAATGAATTAGAATTTCTTTTCCAAACACTTGTTCAAATTGTGGAGTCGGGCCTACGACAGCTCTCAGCTTTTTGGGACTGACCACCTGAGGAATGTGGAGGTGGCTGTCAGCTGCGCTGGGAATCTCTTCTCCAAAATTAGCTTTACTGGAGTGATTCCAGGCACAGAACTGCAGAGAGGCTGCTAAGATTTCTTCAAGACTTGGATCAGAGTCATAATTTTATAGCACAAGAACAGACCCCCTGGTCCAACTCATCTATGCCAACCAGATATCCTAAACTGATCAAGTCCTATTTGCCAGCATTCGGCCCAGATCCCTCTAATCTCTTCCTATTCATGTACCCATACCTGCGTCCACCACTTCCTGTGGCAGCTTATTCCATACACACAGCACCCTCTGTGTGAAAACGTTGCACCTCGGGTTTGTTTCAAATCTTTACCCTCTCACTTCAAACCTATGCCCTCTGGTTTTAGATGCCTCCCTACTCTGTGGTGGGGATGGAGCTGGGGGTGGGGGCTTGCCTATTCACCCTATCCATGCCCCTCATGATTTTATGAACCTCTATAACGTAATCCCTTACCCTTTGCTCCAGAGAGAAAAGCCCCAACCTAATCAGCCTCTCCCTATAGCTCAAACCCTCCAATCCCGGCAATATCCTTACAGATCTTTTCTGAACCCTTTCAAGTTTCACAACATCGTCCTTATATCAGGAAGACCAGAATTGAATACCAGTGCAGTGGCCAAATTTGGAACAATGTGACTGTACACAAACTGCCCAACTCCTATGCTCAATGTGCTAACCAATGAAGGCAAGCGTGCCAAATGCCGCCTTCGCTAGCCTGTCTACCTATGACTCCACTTTCAAGGAGTTGTGCATCTGCACCCCTCGGCCCCCTTGTTGAGCAACACTTTCCAAAACCCTACCATTAAGTGTATAAGTCTTCCCCTGGTTTGCCGTTCCAAATACAACACCATATATGTCTAAATTAAACTCTTATTTGCTAATCATTGGCCCATCTGATCAAGGTCCCGTTGTACTCTGACAACCTGTCCGATATACAACCAATTTTTGGTGTTCATCTGCAAACTTACTAACCATACTTCATATATTCACATCCAAGTCATCTATGTAAGTGATGAAAAGTTGTATGAGAGAGAAGTCAACTTGTTTGTATACATCTTGCACAGTCCTTGATTTGATGGAAAAAAAAAAATTCCTTGACTAGATGCTGAAACCTTCTAATTTCACTTCAAAGTTGTAAATTTTCACTTTGTGGCTATCTCAAATTTTGGAAGACTCCTTGATCTCAAGACTGTGGCTTTTTCAATTTTGTTCCTTGAACTTTTGAGTCTCTAACTTAAATTATGCACGTGGATCTAGAACCCAAGCAGCGATGGGATAAATGACATCAATTGGACTAACCCAATTTTTAGTTGGGGTTTGGATTGATTTACTTATTCACTTAAAGTGAAAGGAATATTGCCACCCTCCCAGCAAACATTCCCATAAACAGAGATAAAAACTTCATTCAGTTTGGAAACCTTTTTTAATCCTCAAATTGTGCTCATTGCTACTGTTGACCAAAATGCATTATTCTAATGGTTTCTGTGGTGATCAAGGTTTGTTTAAAAATGGAGTGAAAATGTAATTTTTGAAAACTGTTTGCTTATTTATCGCAATTAAATTAATGGCATTCTACAAATGTCTTGGCTTGATGTAACATTTCAGGGAAAATCTAGAGAAACTTAAGTGGAAAGACTTTTAATAGTTAGCTAAATAAGTATAATAAATTACAGTCTAAGCTGCTGAAGTGATACAGTTTTATTCATTTCATGAAGAATATATATTAGTATCCTATTTCTACAATGTCATATTCCATAAATCTCATTTGGGAACAACCTAGTTTAGTGTGAGGCAGACAGTGGCTTATAAGTGTTAACTCGCATGCTTGCTTTGTTACAGCTTGAGGTGAGTGTACATGAAGAAAACTAATAGTAAATCAAGCCCTAGTCATAGAATGTTCATTGGAAAATTTGTTTTCTGATGCTAAGATACTTTTTACCTTGTTCTACTAACCTAGCAATTTTGTGTTTACTTTGGATGCAATTACCTGAGTTTGGTATAGAATTTATTAAGTCTGACACCTTGTTTGACAAGGGTATACAGATTATTAGATAGCTGTTAGGTTTCTTTAAAGTCAAAGACTGTGCTCTTCTTACTGCAATCATTAGTGCAGCTAGTTTCTCTTAACAATTCCCATCAAGAAATGCAGTTTTGTTTTTTAAAAGTTGCCAGATTCTCTAACTGAAAGCAGCAATTTGTCCAGTGAGTTTTCTACAAAGGATCTCTTGGCACACAACCACAATGTATATCAGATTTCTTGAAATGTTTTGCCATATTCCACAGAGAATCTGTTTTTGAAATGTTAAAACAGTTGAGATTTGTAGCCAAATTGAGAAGTGGAGAAGGGAAATGAACATTGCCCTCTTAGAACCCGCAGCACTTTATTTTGTGGGGTTTTTTAAACCACCTACCTCCATTAAGATCCCCTTTCAATATGAAACCATGCTTAACTATGTTTAGGAGAAAATTACTGAAAACAGCAAATGCTGGAGATCACAACAGGTCAGACACCATCCATGGAGAGAGTGTAAGCTAACATTTCGTGTCTTAGATGACTATTCTTCATGATGAAGGGATGTCTAGACTTGAACCGTTAGCTTGCTTCTCTCTCCATGGATGCTGTCTGACACGCAGTGATCTCCAGCATTTGTTGTTTTCACTGCTTAGCTATATTGTTTTCCCTAGGAAATTAGAATTGATCTTCGGGGAGCTCAACTGTATTAGTTTGAAAGACTGTAAAGATTGAGCTTGTAATGCATTCCTTTGCTCTGTTTTTCTTGCAGGCTTTTTCAGTATTTTTTGTTTGTGTAGCGTTCACATCAGACATAATATGCCTACTCTTCATACCAGTGCAGTGGCTTTTCTTTGCTGCCAGTACATATGTATGGGTTCAGTACGTCTGGCACACAGGTATGTTCAAGTTTTTTCCCCAATTAAAATTGTCTTTTGTAGGAAGAAAACAACATTTATAATTGTGAATCTTACAAGGAAGGGCATGATTTTAATCATCGTTTGGTGACCATTTTGAAAATCAGGTTCTAATTTAGCCTTACTGCCACAATTTGGGATCCATGTCATGTTGCTGCAACTTCATGGGAGAGAAGAAAGACATATTCTTCCCTGGAAAAGTGTACACTATTGTCAATACCTCAGTAACTAACTTGCAGCAGTCAGGTTGATTATATGTAATTGAGAATTTACAAATGCATAATCTGTCAGCTGTATTGTACTGTATAAATTCCACTTTGTCTTATGGTTTAAGTGATAGCATATTCATAATGTTACTAATCTTAATTGTTTGAAAATATTGCATTTGTAGTCCTGAATAAACAACATAATGCTTTTTATTTCACCATTTAAGATGCACTTAAAAGCCCACATGTTGAATACAAATCAATATTATTGAATTGAATCATTTATTGTCATGTGTATTCGGTGTAAAAATACAGTGAAAAGTGTGTACCATTTGCTGTACGTACGTGGTGCCATTCACATTAACTTAGAATAAGTTAAGAAAGAAAAGATAAGAGAGTCCAACTTTCCTTTGGACTGCCGCAGTCCTATTCCGGGCTTTCCAGCCCTTGCCACACCTTCACGGGAGTCCCGCTCTGGGCTGCCTCACTGGCCCATGCTCAGTCCGCCGTCTTTGCAGGACACAACTCGTGCATTCAGCTCTCGCTGTGTGGTTCCTGGTCACGACCCGGTTCCTGGTCACGACCCAGCTCCTTCCTAACTCCATCTGTAGTAATTCTATGACTCCTCCTACCCCTTTTAACTGCCTACCTAAGGAGAGAGAAGGGAGGCAAAAAAGGAAGGACAAATAAAGAGAGAGAACTGGCGAGCAGAGTGGAGCTCCAAATGGAGCGACTTAGCCTGCTGCCATCTTGACTCTGTTATACTGTAGAGTTTCAAGCAAAACAAGAGTAAAACTAATAGGCCTTGACTGAAAGGAGAACTTTTTCCAAGATCTGCCCTTTACTAAATTGTAACATATTCTACTTGGTTTTAGGATCAATATGTCAAGGAACCAACAAAGGCTTAGCTTATTTATCATCCAGTTTTGCGCGATGAGAACAATAATGAATTAATTATTGTATCCTGTACAATAATTTATTGTAGCCTGCAGTGAAGGAGTCTCTGGTGAAGCGTGATTGTATGATTTGAAAGTGATTTAGTTAAGATCGAAACTAGGGTCTTAAATCTGGAAAGTCCAAACTATGTGGATATGAAGGGAGATTTGCATTAAGTAGATTATGAAATTAGATTAAAACATCCTGAGTAGGGGATGACGAACATTAAAAGAATTAATTTGTAATCTAGAACGATTGTAGATGTCCTTAAGGACAAAAGGTAACATTCAGGAAAATGTGATCAAACCATAGACCTCCGGAGAAGTTAATAGACTCAAGGAAGAGAATTATACTGTTGCCAAAACTAGCACATTTGAAGATTGGAAGGGTTTTAAAATTCAGCAATGAACAAAACAAACTGAGAAAAGAATTAGGTGATAGAAAAATGGGAATAGTAGAGACAATGCTAGGATCTAGTTTTAGGAATATGATGTATTTTTCAAATAATATGATATAGCAGTGTCTGCATGGTTTCATGGAATGGAAATTGTGTTTGGCGAATAGATTTAGATTTTTGAAGTTATAACAAACGGATGGATAAAGGGATAACAGTAAATATAACCTATTTGGATTTTCAAAACGATTTGACATTATGCCATTTGAGGTTGTTGTATAAAATGAGGGTTTGTGTAAGGTGATTTATTAGCATTGACTAAGAGTTGGTTAACTGACACAAGACCGTAGGGATAAATTGGTCATTTTCAGTTTAGTAAGCTATAACTAGTGGCATTCTGCAAGAATCAGTGCTTGGCCTCAACAGTGCTCTTAAATTGAGGGAATTGAGCATGATGTCATGTCATGTCAGTAAATTTATACACAATGGAAAGAGACAAGTTACAATGTGGCGATGGTACAAAAAGGTTGCAGAATTATTTAGAAAGATTAATGATTTATTTTGGTTGGAAAAGTTGAATAGCAAATTTTGTTTTGTTTTAAATGGCAAGGACTAGGAAATGTTGGTATTTGGAGGGTTCTCAGGCTTGCTAAGCACAAATCTCAGCAAGTTAACATCCAAGTACACAAGCGATTAGGTATGGTGTGTTGGTCTTTATACAAAGAAGTTAGTTTAAGGATAGTGAGTCAATGAGACCATGTCTGGATTACTCGATTCAGCTTTTAATCAATTTAGATAATTATACTTTTAATCCTCTTCTTTAGTTAATCTAAAGTAAGATAAACTTGCCTGAGAGACAGTAACAAAGGTTCACTAGACTGATTCCTGGGATCTGTGAGGAAAGATGGAGTAGAGTATGCCTGTATTTCCTAGAGTTTAAAAGGATGAGGAGCAGTTTCATTGAGACACTTCGAATTCTTAAGAGACTTGATAGGCAGCTGCTCAGAAGATATATCCCTGTTTGGAAGTAGAAGTTGCAACATTCGAATAATGAGTCATCCACTTGGGATTGAGATGAAAGGGACACTTCTTTTTTTTTTCCGTGATGTTTGTGAATCTTTGGAATTCATGACCCCAGAGAACTGTGGATGTTCAGTTGCTGAGTGTATTCAAGTCAGATCCACAGATTTTTGAAGGGAATAAGGGGATTTGGAAAAAATGTGTGAATGTAGAGTGAAGATAGAAGATTAGTCATAGTCTTATTAAATGACAGAGCATGCTCAAGCAGTGGCCTCTCCTGCTATTTATACTTGGGTCAAAATCTAGTGCTGTATTGGTCGTCAATTGCTAAAGGTACTGTGGATCCAGTTAGTAAGGGGAAGTCCTAGTTTACGTATCCAACAACTACTTCTAGTGGGAAAGAACTTAGCTTCTGCTTGATGTCTTTTCATGAATAAAGCTGATGTTAGTGTTTTTATTTAATGGATTGCTACTTACAGCAGCCTAAATTGGTGAAAATGTTTTAAAATAAATAGTGCCTGTGCTGACAGATATACTAGAAAAAAGAATCGACACCTTTTCCAGGCAATGGTGGACTCAGTGGTCAGCTCATTCATACAGGTCAGTGATGTGGTATACACAGTTTTCTGTTCTGGTTTGTTGAGTTCAGTGTGGTATAAAAGCAAATGTCACAATGGCAGCATCTTTCAGTCAAATTGACAAACTAGTTTGTGAAGTTCAGAGGATTTACTGAGCCTGTTGGACCAAATACGACAGTGATGTGAAACAGTAGCTGATGATGTTTCATTGTCCTGCTTAATTTAAAGTACCTTGGTCCTTTCTTTGTTCTGTGTGTTATGGCTACTTATTTCATAGCTTAGCAAGTCTTTTTTTATATAAAGCTGAGTATATTGAGGCTGTTGTGGTATCAAAATTGTGTTTATCCTGATAATCCACCCAATGGAAACTCAACTAATCTCTATCACGTAAACAATGCAGTGAAAATTGGGTTGTGATTATTCCTCCTAGTAACAGTTCGCAAGAGGCCTCGTAATAGCTGTTGAAAGCCATACAGCTGTATTGCCTGTTACTTCCCTGAACTCCCTCTCGCTGCCACCCCACAATTTTTTTAAAAACATACCTGTTTTTGGAGTAGCTCTTTGTGACTGTAGCACCTGGGCCTTCAGGTACTTGAGGCTGCTGGCCTCTGGATGACTGCCTCAAGTAGGATGTCACTGGTGAGGCAGCCAATTGAATGAGAAGGTCACTGGGCAGCACTTAAACTAATTAGTGTTTAGTCTGGTAAGTCTACTGAGCGGTGGGGCAGGAGTTGATCACAACTGAAGTCACTTGCCACAGCATCTATTGCACAGAAGAACAAATCCTGGCCTTGAAGTTCAAAAAGAAGCTTGGATCCTCAGTTCAATTCCTTTAGAAATTATATGTTTAAGGAGACAAAGCAGTTACTCTGAGGGGGAATTATGCTATTTTAGTCAGTGATGTATTTTTCTATTCTGTCACGTTGTCTTTGCCACTGAGGTGACAATTGATAAAGTGTGTTGAAGTTCTTCAGGCAAAAGCAGTAGTAAAAGGCAAACATTTTCCATTAGTCTTTAAATCTTTCTTCAACACCAGTTTTCTGGTTGGCAGGTAGATTTTTCTCAGTTAGTGAAATGACCTGTCTTATCTCTAGCTGGAATGTAGGATACTACATGTATTTCTGACACAATGTTGACAAACAAGCACGAAATTGCAAGGAAAAGCTGTGCTAGTTGAATTCATAGTTTTCACACTGATGTAATTTTGAATAACTCTTGCCTGTAGGGAAAGGATTTTAATGTTCTTCTGTTCACCTTTTGCTTTAATAATGCCAGTATATGAATTATCCAGTATTGGTTTTACAGTTGGGTAAGTTCTCTGAAGAGAGAGCTCTTCATTTAATTTACAAGTTGTGTCCAAGTTTATTGAAGGGGGAGAAAAATTTGAGCACAAATTCCTAACTCAGTGGTTCGTTCCCTCCCTTCCTGAGGGAAATGTTAACGTAGTTTTAAATTTTACTTTTCATGGCCATTCCTGCAGTTGTGCTAACGAACTATATCATGAAGTGGTAAAACATAGGTTGACCACACGTTCTTCACTGATCCCAGCCAGGCCTTTTGTGAGAATGCCAAGTTGAGGCAAGGTACTTCTCCTTATGGAAGCGGGAAGGTCAAACCTATCTGTGTGTCAGTTTGTGCACTTATCGAACATCTATTATAGGAACAGCATTGTCAAAGTCTTGTAAGTTGTCTGGTGTACATTAAAAGAAGGGAGCTCTGAAATGGCAATGAATTATTTTTTAATGTTGAACTGTAATTTGCAAACCTGTATGTAATTCCACATTGCAGGTGCAATTGCAAATAAACATAATTAGATTGTTAATTACTGGCTCATTTTCTAATATTTTCATTTCTTTACATCAATCTTTGCAGTCCCTTTTGAATAGTTGTTTGTTTCGAATGAATTATTGGCTGTTTAATTCAAATGGGACTGAGATACGTTTTAAAAGCTTGATTCGCATAGCGCCCTTATAACTGACAGAGAAAGAGAAGACATTATTTCTACCTTGGACACTAAATTCTGGACCTATATTGATTGCTAATCCCTGCATCACTGTTCCCTGTATTTGATATTTAGCATGTGCTGATATGTGGCCTAAAAAGAAGAAATTATGTGGAGGTGGGGATAGAAAGATGATTTCCTTAAATGTATTTACCTCTCACTTGAATTGCAGTGTCACTTGTATGTTTCCATTGCTGTAATGTGCATGATGCCATGCGAATCAGAAAATTGGTGGAATTTGAAATAAGATTGTGTAAGAAATAACTTTTTTAAGAAAGAAAACAAAGTTTTTTTTGTGATGTTTTGTTTCTGAAATGAATTTTAGTTAAGATCATAAAATGTCAGAGGAGAAAGAGGCAATTCAGTCCATCGGGTCTACTCTGCCATTTAATGGGATTATGGCTGACTGCAATTTTCTGTCTTTCCCTGTAACTCTTGAATTCTTCACTGATTTGAAAATCTGTCTCTCAACCTTGAATATACTTAATGACACAGCTTTTACAGCAATTCCACAGATTCATGACCCTCAGAAGAAATTCTTCTCTGCTTCTGTCTTAAAAAGAGTGACTCCCTATTCTGTGATCATGCACTCTAGTCTTACACTCTCCCACAAGAAATAACCTCTTAGCATCTACCCTGTCAAATCCTCCTAAGAATTTTGTTTCAATACCGCCAGCCTCGTTCTTCTATACTTCAATGAATACAGGCCCAACCTGTTCAGCCTATCCTCACAAGAACATCCCTCCATGCTTAGGATTGACCTAGTGAGCCTGCTGTGGACTACCTTCATTGTCAGTACATCTTTCCTTAGATAAGAGAACCTAAGCTGTTCATGGTATTTGTAAACATTCTGTTTTTACATTCTTGTAACAGGTTAGCATTTTGCCAGTGGCAGACGTTAAGCTAACTGTCCTATAGTTATGAACTTCATTTTTGAATTAGGCTGTTACATTGGCAGTGCAAAGAAAATTTGCTGGAAAATCTCAGCAGTTCTGGCAGTACCTGTGCAGAGAAAGCAGAATTAATGTTTCAGATCCAGTGACCCTTCTTCAGAACTGAAGTTGACTTCCTTGGTTAACCATGGTTGAGAGATCCCTTTCTAGAATCCTCCTCCCTTGCTCGGATGTCATTAGAGCTGTGAGCTGCTAACTATTTTCCTGAATATCTGCTATCATTCAACAACTGCCATTTCTGCTCAACTCCTTTCCCACTACACTTCAGCATATTAGTGCTGTGGTCACTTTGCTCTTTCTCCCTACAGTCTTCACCCTTGTCGAATACCTTGTATCTGTTGGACGCTTGCAGGGGCGGAAACTTTTCAAGTGCTTCTCCCTGGACCCCCATTTCTGCCTCACCTGCAGTCACTTGATTCTGAATTTTTATCAGTTGCTGTTTAACCTGTCTGATTCCAGCTAATGGAAATCACCCTACAGTACAACAATTTCATAGAATCCTATCTTAGAATCCCTACAGTGTGGAAACAGGCCCTTGACCCAACAAGGCCACACCGACCCTCCGAGCATCCCACCCAGACCCATCCCTCTTTAACACACCTAACCTACACATCCCTGAACACTATGGGCAATTTGGACTGTGGGAGGAAACCGGAGCACCCGGAGGAAACCCATGCAGATACAGGGAGAATGTGCAAACTCCACACAGACAGTCGCCCGAGGGTGGAATCGAACCCGTGTCCCCGGTGCTGTGAGGCAGCAGTGCTAACCACTGAGCCACCATGCCGCCCTGATTTGAGGAGCCTTATCTTTGTGAAAAGGCATTTTGCAAGCTTGCATTGCATTATTTAGCTGGTGCGTGATGCAAGATTATTGGAACTATTTTTTTGCCTTTTATGAGAAAGCCAGAACTATCTTCATTGGTATGTTAATGGAAAATTGTTCCTCGGATTAAAATGTTTAGTTGATGACCTTTTTTTTTTATCTTTTTCAGAAAGAGGAGTATGTTTACCAACTGTATCATTATGGATATTATTTGTTTATATAGAAGCAGCAATCAGATTTAAAGATTTAAAAAATTTTCATGTAGACCTTTGTCGCCCTTTTGCTGCACACTGGTGAGTTATCTCTTTATTTGGAAGCTGTATATAAGCAAGTTATTTTAGATCACAGTTGTCTTCAGGATCTCCGTGTCGAATAGTATCTAGTATCCCTGCATAACAAATCTTCTGTTGTGTAAACTTTAGTTGTGTAAACTATCTACCCAACTCTCCTGCCACATGTCAGAAAGGAGCAGTACAAAATAAAGATTACTAAATCTAACACAGAATGACATTCTGTCAGAGACTCCAGAATAACTCCTTTTGGACTCTGACAGCTCTTGCAGCCCAAACTCAGGCTTTTCCATTTTTGATATCACAGCATCTGGAGATGCTTGCTGTTCCTTGTGAATGTATAGATGCATGTTCCAAGCATTTTGGTTTTTCTGATTAATTTGTATTTTGGGGTAATTGTGACTTTTTTCACGTAAGCTTTTTAAATTACTGTGTTTTCTCATTTGAGAACTCTGTTTAAAAAGTTACACTGTGTTTGTAGTATTCTGAATTAGGTCAGAGTCCATTTACTTGGAAATAGAGCAATGAGGATTGTTACAATACTAATGGGACCAGAAAAAAGTTTGTACATTTCCACACTATTTGACACATTAGTTTTGCCACAGTGAATGCCAGTTATACCAAATGGAAAAACAGTTCAACTCCTGTTAAAGAGTCAGTCATACAGCACAGAAACAGACCCTTCAGTCCAATTCGTCCATGCCAATCAGACATCCCAATCTGACCTAGTCCCATTTATGAAGTCATAGAGAGGTCTACAGCATGGAAACAGGCTGTTTTGGCTCATCCTATCCATGCAGCTTAGTTTTCACAATTAAACAGGTCCATTTGCTTGTGTTTGGTCCATATCCCTTCATACCCATCCCATTTATGTATCTGTCTAAATGTTGCTTAAATGACATCTGTATTTGCTTCCATCACTATCTCTGGCAGCCCATTCTAGACTCTCACCACCCTCTGTGTAGGGAAAAATAGTCCCTCAGGACCCTTTTGTATCTCTCCCCCCTCACTTTAAACCTATGTCCGCTCTAGTTTTGGACTCCCCTCCTATGGGGAAAAGCTGTTGGTATCTACCTTATCTATGCCTCTTATGATTTTATAGACTTCCATAAGGTCACCCCTCAGTCTCCTATCCTCCATGGAAAAAAAAAGTCACAGCCTATCCAACCTCTCCTCCTAACTCAAACCTTCCAGTCCAGGTAGCATCCTGGTAAATCTTTTCTGTACTCTCTCCAGTTTAATAATATCCTTTCTACGGTAAGGTGCCCAGAACTGCACCCAGTACTCCAAATGTAGTTTCAACAACAGTTTGTCCCAACTCTCAATTAAACTGGTTCCATCTGCTAGCATTTGGAGCACAATCCTCTAAACTCTTCCAATTCATATACCCATCAGATGCCTTCTGAATGTTTCTGGTATAATTACACGAATAGCCATGAATAGTGCTTCAATAGGAGGATCTGCAAGCAGAAGTAACCATCACTGTGTTGATTAGTTATTTAAAATTTATAGATGAATAAACAGTTGGTTAGAAATAGATTGGAGAGGGAATTAAGATAGTTAAAGCTGAGAACATAAAATTCCAAATGGAATGCAGTGAGGTCAATAAAGGCCAAACAATGGTGACGTGAGGATGAATAGTACTTGAATTTCTCATTTTGTCACTTAGGAGGATTTTTCTCCTGGAATAAAATTATTCAAAAAAAAGAAAGAAATGTAGCAGAGCCCAAGATTTGGTTAACAGGATGTGGAAGGATTAGGCTTCATGGACCAAATGATCTATCTTTCCCATTTTTAATTATTTCTATCCCGGATAATTTGTTGAATGTCATAACCATATTTGAATTGTATTTGGCTCTTCTGACAAGATTTGGCAAGAGTTGGGGTGATTATAGATGAGTTGCTTAAGTTGCTATGTTGCAGTTTTGGGAAATTCTGAGCAGCGAAAAAGATTTCGTTGCCTTAATTTTTAAGACAAGTATGACTGTTGCAGAGCTATTCACATTTCTGAAGCTGTGATTTTATTTTATTTTTATAATCAATTCATTTATTCAAAAATTTTAAGATCATGACGAGACAATTTCACATACCAGTGAATAGGTATGTGGTATGGTGGATGATGCATACAAAAGTTTCTGCTCCACTTGGGGCCATTCATCATCAAAGCACTGTCATTAGCCTCAGCATCTTCAGATCTTAAAAAGTATTAAGGTAGATAAATCCTGGGTCCTAATGGGATCCATCCCAGATTGTTAAGGGAGGCAAGAGAACAAATTGCTGGAGCATTGACAGACATCTTTGTATCCTCTTTGGCCACAGGTGAGGTCCCAGAGGACTGGAGAATAGCCAATGTTGTCCCACTGTTTAAGAAGGGTAGCAGGGATAACCCTGGAAATTACAGGCCCATGAGTCCCGTGTCGGTTGTAGGAAATTATTGGAAAAGCTTCTCGGGGACAAGATCTGTACACATTTAGAAGCAAATGGACTTAGTGATAGTCAGCATGGTTTTGTGCGGGGGATGTTGTGCCTCACTAACGATAGAGTTTTTTGAGGTGATGATGAGTGAGGGAAAAACAGTTGATTCTTTTCCGCATTGTTAAAGGCTTTCCTGAAGTCAAGGTCCCTCATTGCAGACTGGTAGAAAAGGTGAAGTCACATGGTATCAACAGTGAGCTGGCAAGATTGATACAAAACTGGTTTAGCCACAGGAGACAGAGGGTAGCAGTGGAAGGATGCTTTTTGGAATGGAGGGCTGAGAGAAATGGTGTTCCACAGGAATCCGTGCAGGGACCACTGCTGTTAGTGATTTACATAATGATTTGGAGGAAAACGTAGCTGGTCTAATTAGTAAGTTTCCAGATGATACAAAGATTGATGGAGTTGCAGGTAGTGAGGAGGATTGTCAGAGGATACAGCTGGATATTGATCAATTGGAGGCTTGGGCAGAAAAATGGCAGATTGCGGTTTAATCCGGACAAATGTAAGGTGATACGTTTTGGAAAGTCAAGTCCAGGTAAAACTAAATGGTGAATGGCAGAACCCTTAGGAGTGTTAATATGCAGAGGAATCTGGTGGTGGCAGCGCAGATAGATAAGTTAGTAAAAAAGACTTCTGGCATGCTTGCCTTCATTGGAAGGAGCGTTGATTATTAGGATAGACAAGTTATGCTGCTGCTTTATAGAACTTTAGTTAAACCGCACTTGAAATATTGCGTACAGTTCTGATCATCATACTTCCAGAAGGATGTGGATGCTTTGGAGAGGGTACAGAAAAGGTTTACAATGATATTGTTTCAGAGGTAGTAGGAACTGCAGATGCTGGAGAATCTGAGATAACAAGGTGTAGGGCTGGATGAACACAGCAGGCCAGGCAGCATCAGAGGAGCAGGAAGGCTGACATTTTGGGCCTAGAGCCTCCTTCAGAAATGGGGGAGGGGAAGGGGGTTCTGAAATAAATAGGGAGAGGGGAGGAGATGGATAGGGGAGAAGATAGGTGGAGGGGAGACAGACAGGTCGAAGAGGCGGGGATGGAGCCAGTAAAGGTGAGTGTAGGTGGGGAGTTAGGGAGGGGATAGGTCAGTCCAGGGAGGACGGA